AGACACAAAACCTAGTGCATGAGAATAGGGACCAATGTGTCCATGCTACATGTAAATGGTATAAAGTTCAGTGTGAAGTTGCTTTTGTAACGTTTTCGCCATGTCGTTTGAACAATATGCCTGTTCAGCATGAGTTGTTTCAGTCAAATATCACATTGCAGTTTTCCAATAGAACAGTCTTTAGATTTAGTTGAAAATTGAAGTGATTTTTAATCATGGCACTGCTCATAATTTGTGGCGCCATAGCAGAACTTTTTAAAAATAAATAATTAAAATTTTATAAAAACAACACTGATTTAAAAAAAAACTTTTTTTGCTGTATAATGAAGAATTTTATTTTATAGTAAAATCAGCGTACGCATGCAAGGATTTATTTGCAATACAGTAAATTAAAATTTCCCTAATGAATATTACAAGGACTATTTAAGACTTGATTTACAAGCAAGTTAATATAAACTGTTGCTTAAAATTATATTCTCTTTTATTTTTTAACAGGAGCTAAGAAAACATTTTTTTAAGTAAGTTTTTTATACAAGATTACTGTCATTTCATATTTACATTTTAATTCAAATTTTTCGCATAAACAATACATTAACTTAAAGATTAAGGGCATACAATACATAAGATCTCTGGATTTTTAAATGAATTATTTTTTGGTGACAAAATAGAATCAAGTTGTTTATTTAAATCAAGCTTTTAGTCCAACAGTGTGCTTTCATAAACATGATAAACAACACATTTGCTTTCCTTTGAAAATGCTTTTAAATATAAACATATGATTTAATGACATTTGTGTATTTCCCGGAAGTTTGAGTTATATCATTAGCAAAATCACGAAAATAATGCGTAAAATTTGGACAAGTTATTATTTGCCTCTACTACTAGTACTGTATCGTATGCCCTCAGATACAATAGGTTACTTATATGTAATATAAGTATTGTTTATTCAAACAATATTTCCAGCTAACTTTGATAATTAATCTTTCCAGTAAGCATGCTGACATCTTGGATACATTTAATTAACATACACAGACCATTTGCTACATCTTGAGATTAATTTCTCAGGCATTTGACACTTTGAAGTTACACTGCAATCTCACCAGGGGACATACTAATCTATTCTTAATCAGATACATATTACAATTATTCACTGTATGTGATGAAAGGCAGAATAATTTCAGTCTCATAAAAATAATTACACATTAATTAGTATATATAAACTGAAGGTCAGTGGTTTCAGTCTCCTCCCACTAGATGATTGATGTACCCAAAATCTGTGTGTTAAGCCATATGCATGGTCTTGTGCAATCAGTTTCTTGGTTCAAAGCAGTCAAACTAAGTTCAATTTAACAGTTTTACAGTGCTAGAATTCAATTTACCACCCACCAACCCCTTCCAAACACCTTCAATAATGTTCATGACATGAGGAACACCTCAGCTTTTACCAGTGATATTTTTTCTATTTTATAACTTGTTTTCCTTGATGGAATTTTATCACTGGTCATTTCTAAAATTTCATTCATCCCCAAGCATTTCGGGGACAAATTTTATCAAATTTATTCCAGCGCCAGATTGATAGACCCTGCTACTTACTACTTGTAATAGCACCACATGGGCTATCCCCCATGCAGACCTTGCACACCCTGGCAGCAGATGAGACGCCTAGTCTCATCCCCTTCGTGGAGACCCCTCGCTTCACATTCCTGGCTGGCGTATTGTCGGGCAGGCAGGTTCTTCCTCACACTACAGGTTGCTATTTGAGTTGCTCGGCAGGAACTCCTAAATTCTTAATTATGCTGAGTGTTTCTCAAGGGCCAAAATATGTTGTTATTGAGTTTATTGTATTAATAAATATTATTCATTTGAAAATTCTGTCTGCTTTGAGCCAGTATGATTTATTGGGACTATGTTTTGGTTTACACACAGATACCCCCTTTATCACTTATGCTTACATTTCATTATTAGGGAGTTGGTTTAGATCCATAATGCTCAATTTCACTGATGGTGAGTTTATAAAATTTTGACTTGTTACAATTTACTTTTGACTTAAAACTCACCATTTGGGACTTTGTGGATTGTGATTTATATTTGAGTTTGGCTATCAAGAGAGTTACATCAGAAATAAAAAAACATTGGATCTATAAGGATTTGTTCCATTACCATACAAACAGAAAATTATATGCATATTTACATACCAGGAGACAATTACAGATAAAACACCACCAATAAAAACCTTCAAAATGTATGTTTACATTATTGGACAACAATTGTTACACAACACAAAATTTACACCATACACAACTACAAAGACAATATTGTTTGTATAAAATAACAAATTATAAACTATGTCACACTACGGATTTAAACAATTAAAAGAGACAATAAGATATTAAATGTAGCAGGCTTTGAAAGGCCCCTACATGATAAAATGAACTCCCCCCCCCAAAAAAAAGCAAACAAACAAACAAGAAAACCAAAAGCCTGATTTATATAAAACAATAAACCAAAAAAATATGATAGACATCAATCAACGGGTATAATAAAATAACAGGCTCTTGACTGGACACATTTGTCATCCCAATTTTTTGTATTTGTATTTTTCTTATAACAAGATGAAGTTCAGCTTTAATGAAAGGCAATTAAGCCCTTTATGGATTGAATGAAAAGGTTTTTATCTGTACTGTACATTGTATATTTGATCCTGTTAAATGCTATTGTTTAAAGGATAACATAGATTCCATTTTAGAATTTGTCAACATCTTCATTTTGAGAATACTTGTTGTTTCAAAACTTTTAAGAGGGAGGGGGTGTATGTCCTTCAGGCCATTGATTCGTTCTCTAATAAAGATATATTTAAGAAGTTTATATATAAATGTAACATTAATAATTTTTTTTTTTTTTTTTTTTTTTTTCAGAAACATGGCACAAGAAAAAAAAGATATAAGACACTACAAGACATTCCAAGTGATTCTGAATAAGACAATTGATGTACTTTTCAAATGTATTCGTAAATAAATCAAATAATTAATGCAAAATAGTGTTTTGCTCTTTATCTCTTAAGCCAATTATTGACAATGGATGTAATCCAATTAGAAGTGTAACATTTTTTGTTAAGATAGAGGAGTTATTTTGAAAAATCTGAGTTTGTGACACAAGTTTAAGTCAATGTGACCTCAACTTAAAAATTTGTATAATGAATTGATTGATGTTTGCTTAACATCCAGTGGAAAATAGTTCATCCTTTTCAGGATGACATGTGCATGATGTGTATAAGATAGGTAATAAAGGTTGAGAGTGATAAACTAAACATTATGCCATTGGCATTGCGGTAGGAATGTGGGCTTTATTGCAATGCCTGTCTGTCCATCTATCTTTGTCCAACAAATATTTTCATTACTGTTTTCCCCAAAACTACTGAACAGGATGAGCTGTTTGATAGTGATGAACTGTGATGTGTGAGCATTTTTGTATCTGTCGCTCGTATACCTGTTACCTGTTTGCTTATATTTTAGTATGTTGAATGAACACAAATTTTTCATGACTTCTATCAGTAATGCTGCTGAACAGAATGACTTCATATTTAGTTAGTGGTTTAACCATGATGAGTTGTGTCTTCAATTTTGGATATGTCAAAATTTGTATATACTTCGTGTTTTCAGATACTTTGAACTGTGAATTGTCATATGTTTAGCAAAACAACTGATTTATTCTTGTTTGTATATAGAATGAATCACTGTGTATCTATTAAACTAATGATTTGTTATATTAAAAAGCTGGAAACTCATTTTAAAGTACAGAAAATTTTATATTGATATGATATAGATATCAACCAAAAACATCTTCTAAAAACATTTTGAAAACATTTTTCAGGCACTTGATAGAAAATATCCCCAAAAAATTTTTATAACATTATTTGATGTTCATCATGTTTTTCAAACGTTTAGAAAATGTTTTGAGAAAATATTTTTGAAAAGATTATCAAAATGATTTATATGCCATTGTTTTTCACATTATCATGATATTTCTTGACAATATTTTAATTATATTATGCCAATATTTTAGGAAATATATTAGAAAATGTTTTTGCGATATTTTTTAACCATACACTTTTATATTTTTTTTTGCGATATTTTCATGGCGTTCGACATATTTTAATAACATTTTAAAAATGTTTTTGTGTTTGCTGGTTTAAGAATTCTAAAGAAATTGTTTTTATTTATTTGTTTCAGTTTGATGTTTGTACTTTTTAATTTTATACTATTTTTCTTATTATCATACCATTTCATTTATAGACAAAAATAATATCTTTTAAGGTGAAAAATAATTTTTACCTATGAACTACCCTTTTCCTAATTATAAAATTTTGTTCTACAACACCCATTCACTAAAACAACATCTTTTCAATTTATTTTGTCGGCATTGGAGGATATATTTGTATAAAATGTAGGCATCCCAGGAAGACACCATATATAGTGGTTTTGTACAACCCTATTGACAGGCCTCTGACATGCTGTCATTACAATATGTTAGAGGCCTAAAATCATTTTATGAAAGTCAGTGACAAATATGATAAAGGTAAGCCATTCACTAAAATCAACAACATATTGGTTATTAGCAGATCTAATCTATTTTGAAATTCATCCAAATTATTTCATGGTCATTTTTATACAACACTCAAACATGAGGTATCAAATGATTTAAACTACAAGTAACGATATGAAATCATGTCACTGGTAGCTTTGTTGGCAACAGTGCCACTGTTGTCCCATCTGAAGACAGGGTTTTTACAAGACTGAAAAAATCATTGGTTTATAGAACTTCTCTCTCTATTTCCTCAGACGATAAATTAATATCTCATTGAAATTCAGAGTTCAGTTTATAAATATTTATGACTTTAAAGATATTTCGAGGTTCAGTAAAAATGTTTACTCCTTTCTTATAAAACTGAAATCCTATGAACAATATCTTTATCGAGATCACTGGATTATATTCTAACAAACCTGGCCTTTATGTTCCATAGAAAAGGAAGGTCTACCGGTCTTTAGTTCTAATGGCACAATAGATTTTTCATATCTTTCTTTATTCTTTATCTGAAATTATAAAGGTTAGTAAAAATACCTGTCAACTGACACGTATTTTGAGGGTGTGACCCGCGAATTTTCCCTCTCACAGTGATTTTTTAAATAACCCAGGAATTCAGAAAATGACCTGTTTTCACCCGTATTTTTTACCAGTATTGATTCTGGTATTTGGAAGTGAAATATACATTCGGTTTTATCAGCTTTTTTCCTTTATAAAGAAAACAATTAAAAAGTAAACTAGAGGCTCTCAAGAGCCTGTGTCGCTCACCTGTATTTACTGATGCTTTTGAAATCATGTAAAATAAGGTTAAAATCATAATTAATAGTATTAGATATTAGATATTATAATGATATCTAAGATAATAACAAAAAAGTGCAAAATTTTTGTAAAATTACTAACTCAGGGGCAGCAACCAATAATGATTATGGCCAAGTATGGTTAAATTTGTCTCAGTAGTTTCAGAGAAGAAGATTTTTGTAAAAGATTACAAAAATTTACTAAAAATTGTTAAAAATTGACTATTAAGGGCAATAACTCCTACAGGGGTCGACTGACAATTTTGGTCATGACAACTTATTTGTAGATCTTACTTTGCTGAACATTATTGCTGTTTACAGTTTATCTCTATCTATAATAATATTCAAGATAATAACCAAAAACTGCAAAATTTCCTTAAAATTACCAATTCAGGGGCAGCAACCCAACAACAGGTTGTCAGATTTGTCTGAAAATTTCAAGGCAGATAGATCTTGACCTGATAATCAGTTTTACCCTATGTCAGATTTACTCTAAATGCTTTTGGTCATCGCACACATTTTTTAAACTAGATACCCTAATGATGATTGTGGCCAAGTTTGGTTAAATTTGGCCCAATGGTTTCAGAGGAGAAGATTTTTGTAAAAAGCTAAACGACGACGGACGACGACGACGATGACGGACGACGGACGCCAAGTGATGAGAAAAGCTCACTTGGCCCTTCGGGCCAGGTGAGCTAAAAAACATAGGATTTGCTTATTTACCTTGCTCTTAATTGGATGGATATAGCTATCAAAACGCGCATCTGGCCTACAAAATTTTAATCCTGGTATCTATGAGGAGTTTATTTAGCAGGTTTTTTATCATTTAGAAATTTGTTTTCATGTTGTTGTATCACTGTCTATTAGTCTTTCCCATCATTTGACTTAACTAGTCACTTTTGATGAAATGCACATGGCAGATATCTCACTAAACAAGGATTCCATTGTATTTGACTCTTACTGTGTAACATCCCATATAGGTAGCAAGTTGTATAATAAAATATGAACTACATGTCATCCAGATTTAAAAGGTATTCCCCAGTCATATCTTTAAGAAGGATGTGAATAAGAAAAAATTCATGAGGGGTTCAGTGGAACCCTCTGTCTCGCCTGCGATTGCTGCTGTCAATGTCAAAGTGTAATGTTGACTTAGAAAGTGAGTCCATTTATCAGTAAAATACAGAATTTAAAAAAAAATTCAAACTTTTTCTTTATCTTCAGTAAAAAAAGGAAAAATGAAAATAAAATATTTGCAAAATTTTGCTCTGGATACTGTCTTTTGGTCAAAAACAAGCTTCTGTCCAAATTTTATAAAATTCCATGAAGGTTTGACAAAGTTACTGATGACTGAAAAACTTTAACCTCAAACAAAGTCTGAAGTTAACTGTAAAAAAAACGTCCATTTTTTAGTATAGTACAGAAAAATGAAAATAAATATTTGCAAAATTTTGCAATGGATACTGTATTTTGGTCATAAACAAGCTTGAAGTTGCTTCTGTCCCAATTTCATAAAATTCCATGTAGGTTTGACAAAGTTATTGATGTCCAAAAAAACTTTAACCACAGACTGAACCTAAATGTTGATGCCGATGGAATCTAGCATCGCTATGTCTCGCTTTCGCGAAATAAATTTCACAGGCTTGACAAAAACAAGATGCTTTCTGAACTATTGATATACCCCCTTAGTGTTTACAAGAATTTCAAGTTTGTGCATTCTATTTCAAAGATATCTTTTTGGCAAACAACAGGAAGTAGAACATCCAAGAACTAAAAACCTGTCACACAGTATGGCATAACCAAATTAAATGAAGCTTGGTGTCAAGAGGCTATAACTGGTAGTTGCTGAGAAAAAAACCCACAAAAATGTAATACTAACATACTGTCACAAAGGCACATGGAAATAGGAAAACCAGTATCTAACTTCCCCCCTCCTTTTGAAGAGTTCTAAAATACAAATTCTGCAGGCGGGATTTTATTATGTACTATAGATTACTTGCCTGTACTTCAACTGTTAAATCTATCTTTCCTTTCACCCCATATCTAAAAATAAACAAAAAAGCACACCTGTTTTACTGATCATGATTGAATTTTACATTGGAATCTTTCAGATCAAGGTTTTATACAGGTATCAAATAAAATAGACAATATAAATGATCAATGAAGAGGTCTATGTCAGTTATACATATACACCTTTAAAAAATCATTCCATACACCAAATATAGTAGACTTATTGCTCACAGTATCCCAGAAACAGATCTAACCACTAAAACTAAACATTGACCAATGAACCATGAAAATGGTAAAAGTCATATGAACCCTGCCAGACTGACATCTACACCTTTCAATATTGCAATAATTCCATACACAAACTATAGTTAAAATGTATTGCTTAAAGTATCAGATGACTTCTACGTGTATGATCATTGACTATGACATAGTTTAAAACGAGGTATCTGATGAGTTAACCCATTTCTAATGGATTGTTTTACGCAGGATGAATCCATAGTAATGCTATAGCAATTTCTCCAGCTGTTTTGATTGGTCAATCAATCTTTTGAGTTTAATGCTTTTGATCAATCAATCTTCGAGTTGTGCTTTTAAGCAGTTATCTACCATTTGAATAATTACCTCTGTAATGAACATGCATACAAGCCATAAAAACCATATTTAAGAGGTAGAAATTCAGTTAAATCAACATGCATCACAATAATATTGTATCTTTTTTAATTATAATTGCCTTTAAAAGATCACTTAAAATACTTTTTCTGGTTTTGAGCTTGTTTTCCGGTTATCTTAGTACTTGCATCACTAGTTAAAGTTGACCTACTGATTATAGTATCTGAGAAACAGGCTTATCACATAACTGTAACCTTGATCACTGATCCATAAAATGAGGTCATGGTCAGGTGAACCCTGTCTGCTGGACATTTAAACATTTAAAGATGGATCCAATATACCAAATATTATTATCATATTACTCATAAGTGAGATATTTATAATACAGAAATCATCAAATTAGAGAACTGAAAGGAAAAATTCAGCAATTTTTCCATTTGTAAAGGGGCATAACTCTAGAAATGTAAAAGTGTCGCCACCCAAATTCAAACTTGATCTGTAGTTAATGGTAATAAGCATTGAATATAAGTTTCATAATATTTGGTTGAGGCAAACTAAAGTTAGAGACCGAAAACCAATTTCTAGACGTACAAGGGTAATACTTAATGCCCCCTCCGCAGTGGAGGGGGAATAAAAATTACAATTTTCATTGATTGTAAGTTCAACAATTCGATTTAAAAAGTTAAATAACAAAATATGGAAAATTCAAATCTGAAAGTCCCTTATCAAAAGGAAAAATCAAAAGCTCAAACACATCAAACGACTGGAAAACAACTGTCATATTTAATTTACTGTTAAACTGTAAAAACACATTTTCATCTTCTCATGAAAAAGGCAACACTTCACTGATAATGTTGCTAATTGTAGCTTTTGTATAATGTTTTTTGTTTCTTCTCTGTTTTTCGTTTTTTGTCATGGCTTTGTTAGTTTATTTTCAATTTATGAGTTTGAATATCCCTTTGGGATCATTTGCCTCTCTTTCAGAATGGTGTCAAACTTCGAAGGTAACCAGTGAAGTACATTTAAATATTGCTAGTGGCAAAAATCCATAAATGAGAAAATTTATTGATAGACAACTTGAAGCTGAAAGTATCAATAAACTGTTAACACAGAGATATGTCTCGCCTTTTTGTAATTTTGATAATGCAAATGTTGAAATTAAAATAGCAATACTTTAACATGTAAGTTATGCAAATATTCAAAGTCAATGAACCATGACTGAAGGTACATGGCTACACTGACCTAATCACAAATTATTACATGTAAACTAAGCAAAAGTTTCAAAGTCAATAGACCATGACTGAGGGGGCAGGGCCAAATAATATCCATGGAAATGAGATGTGCCAATGCTAATACAACTGCATACAAAATATCATTGACCTACCACTAGTGGTTCACCATAAACTAGACCTAATCACAAACTAAAACATTGTTGATGCCGCCGCCGCCACTGACGCCGGAAACAGCATACCTATCTCTCGCTTTTTGACTCTGTCAAGGCGAGACAAATAATATCCATGGAAATGAGATGTGCCAATGCTAATACAACTGCATACAAAATATCATTGACCTACCACTAGTGGTTCACCATAAACTAGACCTAATCACAAACTAAAACATTGTTAATGCTGCCGCCGCCACTGACGCCTGAAACAGCATACCTATCTTTCGCTTTTTGACTCTGTCAAGGCGAGACAAAAATTAAGAGGCTCTAAAGAGCCAGTGTTGCTCACCTAGGTGTAAGTGCATATTCAAAAATTGTCACACTATCCAACATTGTGGACTAGAATAGAATTCATGACAAAAATCTCTTTTTGTTGATATTGTATTACTGGTCATCTTTTTTATCTACCAGTATGTATTATAATTTTCAAGATATTAGGCAATCACTTCAATACAGAATCTACCAATGATTTCCACCATTAGACTTTTTGTCTTGTTCATCATTTTTGCTTTATCTATCTATTATAGTTTGTATTAAAGATATTTGGCAAAAATGCAAAAAATTGGTAAAAGTAGTCATGAATGAGCAAGAACTCCAATAAGAAATTGACTGACAATCTCGTCTATATTGACTTATTTGTAGATCTAGTCTTCCTGATCATTTTTGCTACTAAAAGTGGCTATCTATCAATAATCAATTTCAAGATTATAAGAGGCAGAACACTAATAAACTGTTGACACAGAGGTATGTCTTGCCTGTCTGCATAAATTCAGAAAAAGACAATCTGATGGACAGCAACATTGCTAATTAATTCAAAGTCACTGGAGGGGCCTAGGTGTCGAGTGGTCTAAGTAGTCGAACTACTGTATCACTAGCCAGTCAACACTGAGATTGTGAGTTCGAATCCCGCACTTGGCAGGTGCACTCTGTCTCTGTCTTCCTCCACCAATAAAAACTGACCGCCACAAAATAGCACAATAGTATTGAAAGTGGCGTTAAACACCAATCAATCAATCAATCAATCAATCAAAGTCGCTGGACCAACTAGTGGGTAGGGTCTCGAAATGATTGACAAACTGAAACTTTATAGAAAATATTGTCTGCTGTAAGAAGTTCCCATCAAACTAACTTAATCAGAAAACTTAACATTGAAAATTGTTAAATGATTGAAAGTCACTGGACCATGTCCTAGGGGGCAGAGCCTTGAAATAGTTGTCAAACTGATATGTACTGATAGTAATGCAACTTTATAGAAAATATCATTGATCTATCGCAAGTATTTCATATCAAACTTAAACTTAAGCAGAAAACTTATCATTAAAAATTGCTAATTAATTGAAAGTCACTGAACCATGGCCTGGGGGGCAGGGCCTCAAAATAGTCGTCAAACTGATATGTACTGATAGCAATGCAACTTCACACAAAATATCATTGATCTATCACCAGCAGTTCCTATCTATCTAACATAAGCAGAAAACTTAACATTTAAAATTGCTAATTAATTCAAAGTCAAATTCGAAGCAGGGCCTCAAAATTGTCGTCAAACTTATATGTACTGTTAGTAATCATTTTTGTCTATTTAAGTTCCTATCTATCTATTAGTTTTCCAGATAATAAGCAAAAACATAAAATATCTGTAAATATTGATAATGGTTGTAGCCAAGTTTGGTTAAATTCGGCCCAGTAGTTTCAGAAGAGAAGATATTTGTAACAGTTAACTAAGACGACGACATCGACGATGACAGGTGACAACAAGGATGAAGGATGACAGATGCCAAGTGATGAGAAAAACTCATTTGGCCCCTTAGGCCATGTTGAGTTAACTAGAGGATCTAAAGAGCCTGTGTCACTCACTTTGGTCTATGTGCATATTCAACAACGGACACTCTCCAACATTGTAGACAAGAACAGAATTCATGACAAAAATCTGTGTTTTGTTGATCTTGTAATGCTGATCATTTATTCTGTTTAGTTTTTCTCTATCTTCTTTAGTTTTTGCTCAAAACACAAAAGAGGGCAAAAAAAAAATCCTCATTTAAGGGCAATCTCTCCTATAACGAGTGACAGTCTAATAACTACATCGGCAAAATTTGACTTGTTAGTAGATCTTAACTTGCTGATCATTTTTTTCATTTAAAGTGTCTATTTATCTATTATAATTTTTATCATATAAGGCAAAATGCAAAAAAAATGGTAAAAATCCTCATTGGGGCAGTAACTCCAATAAGGAGTCGTCAGACAATTTCCTCCATATTGTCTTAATTGTAGATCATGTCTTGCTGATAATTTTTGATTATTTAAAGTTTCTCTCTATCTATAATATAGATTTCAAGATAATAGGCAAAAATGAAGAAAAAAAAGGTAAAATTTATCATTTATGGGCAATAACTCATATAAGAAGTCGTCGGACAGTTTTGATGGAGATGGACAATTGGTAGAGCTCAACATTCTGAACATTTCTGATTTGTCAGATTTTCTCTATTTATAACTGTTTTTAAAATAATAGACAAAACTTGCATTTTACCACTATGTTCTTTTTTTAGCCATGTAAGCCATCTTGGTTGGCAGGCGGGGTCATCGGACACATTTTTAAAACTAGATACCCCAATGATGATTATGACCAAGTTTGGTTAAATTTGGACCAGTAGTTTCAGAGGAGAAGATTTTTCTAAAAGTTAACACGGGCGACAACGGACAACGACGACAGACACGACAGACGACGGACACCAAGTGATGAGAAAAGTTCACTTGGCCCTTTGGGCCGAGTGTGCTAAAAATATCATAAAAATCAAAACCTTTAATTTGTCTTTTTAATTACTTAAAAAGTCAAAGCTTGTGAATCCAAGTGCATAACTAAACCTGAAAGAGACTACCCTGAATATAATCTGTTATCTGTATTTCTTCCAGAAATTGTCTCTTATACATCTTGAACTTCAAATTTAGTAGCCTGCATAAATTCATGAAGTGGTTTGAGAAGTTA